TTACCAACCGTTGCCACTATATTACATTTCTGTCTGACAACGCAAGTCCTCATTTGAATTCTCTATATTTAGTTTAATAATAAGGGTACATTAATGATATAAAGAAACACAAGAAACGTCAAATAATAAGATGCACACTTATCTAATATTATGTAAGAAATATAATTGCTTATATGTATTGTATAAAGAAGCATATACTTCCTATATCTTAGCATCGGTTCTAAGAAGATTGACAACAGTAAGTTAACAAAATGGATTATTCGAATGCTTAATTCAAAAAAAATGCGTTCTTAACATGTGCAAATCAATATGCAATGATTTGATAAGACAACAAATGAATGCTCCCCCATTCAGCACATTGATAAAAGTATAAAATGTATCAAAAACTGTTGAGAAGAACTATTTATACAAATCGGAGCACGCTGAATTATACGTAGCTCACATTTTAAAAAATTTATGATAATAACAAAAATAATGTTATATTTTGGAAAAATTGAACACTCGCCATGCGTAAGCAAATGCGGACGTACCACCCCATTTGAACAAACGAACTGGGAGAGAACAACAAGAAGAGCAAGAGCAAGAAGTGGTTGATCTGTCACATTTGTTCATAAAAAAAAAAAAATTGTTAACAATTGGTAGGGAGCAGGAAGAAATTCCAAAGTGGGAAGGAAATTTTGAATGCATGGTGAGCACATCATCAAATTGGCATTGGCTCATTGCATAATTCCCGGCCAAAGAAGTTTAAGGGAGGAATACTTAACCTTCATTGTCTCCTTTCCACCTAGTACTTTTGGCAGCGCATCATGACACAGTTAGCAGCGTCGGTAAACCCGGGAGAACTTTGCCTTGCATAGGTCCTGACTTAAGTTGAGGGAGGAGCTTATAATGTAGTAACTCCGGGGGGGTGGGAATACCATCATAGTTGCCATTGGGGTGACGTGTTTTTACAATGTTTGCACTTTGTCTTCTGTTCCTTGGCGTGGAACTGAAAAAAGTAAAATAAAAATAAAATACTTATGTTAAACCTCCAGCCATATAATATATACAGCGTCTATTTTTCTTCTACACAGCAAAAAATAATCACTTTTACATTTTTCTCGATATATTTTATTCTTATGAAAATATTAATCGCGCAATATTACCACAAAGTAAACGTGTATTCAGGAAGTACATTTAACTATTAGCCACTTCTATATATCTCCCCATTCTGTTATTAATTCCTAAAATGATTACATTAAATAATTTACATATACGTATCTTATAAAAATATACAGCCCGTTATAAGTTAAACGTAATTGTGGTGTGTCTTTCCTTCATGTCATAATGTAATAGTTCGCCCTTTACCATTATGTATACGCGTGCACCTTGTAATACACAAAATACATATTATGCTGTATTACAATATGTGCACATGTATCTGTAGAATAGGTTCGACATGCGGAACTCCACGCGGGTGTTCCACATGAAATTATCCGAAGACCGTGTACCAAAATATACACATGAATTAAAGACACAGTTGCAATATTTTAATAATGCCCTGTAATGTGTTGGAGGGGAACACATGTGTATGTGTGCAAAATGGAACACTCAGCTACGCCATAATTATTAGTATAAATCTATATTCACAAATTTTAGAGTCTAATAAGGAAAAACAAGAAAAAAAAAAGCGTAGTTTGCACAATTCGTGTAATTTTTCGAGATTCCTAATTAGCAACAGTGTTCTTTTGTAAACGTTTTATTTTCCCTGTTGATTATCGTTAACAGTGCGTCGTAGCAACCATGTATAGGCATATATATGTGATACAAAATGTGCCACCATCATGTCCTAGTTGTTCACTTATATTGGTGTTTACATCAGTTCAATTATTCGTTTTTATAAATAAGCTGTTCATTACTGTTGTATATATGCATTTCCTGCTTCCTACAGGCAACTACTGCGCGTATATAGGAAGGGTATCATATTTTAATACGACGCATATTCATAAAAAACATCGTGCCTTAGGTGTATTTTCCTATTTGTTAAAATTTGTGCTCCGACTACCCTACTAAAATCATGTGCAAAATTAAAACTGAACAAATATAAAAACTAAAGAATTTTTCATTGAACCCACATAGTACGTGTAATAACAAGAATATCATTTATACCGATTTGTACATTTATTTTATCCTCAAGAATTTAGGTACGCCATTTTATCTTATTTTAAAAAAATAAGCCTCCATAGAATGCTCCTACGGTTTTGTGCATTTTTGTGTAATAGTGGGGTCTGTGGTTCTTAAAAATGTCGTTCTTATTATTCATTATAATAGACCACTCGGGTTTTTTCTTTTTTCTTTTTTCTTTAATTTCTATTTACTATCTTTTCAACAAATAATAAATAAAAATGCCATTTACCGTGTGACATGCAACAGTTCTTAAAGAGTTCACCCTGTTTTCCAATGCCAAGAAGGCGGTCTTTAAATGGCAAATTCCCTCAATTTATTTTTACATATAATTAGTATGATGGCAATGGTGTGCCCCCCGTTTCTGCTTATTATTATATGTCGTAATGGGGAAAACGAAAGCGCATTACTATTATACAGTACCGCAACATATAGATTACACGTTATAACCGTCCGGTGCACTATTACATATTTACATAAGTACATTGGAAGTAATTCTTTGTAGCGCTGGTGGATCCCATTATTTCATATATTCTTACTTTCTTGTTCTTTACTATTTGTTACCTCTTTTGTTAAAGTTCACCCAATGAGAACATTGCATTAAATGAAATGAAATGAAACAAATTATAATTTTCCGCGATACATTTCCCAAAATATTACATTCCTTTCTCTTTTTTTTTTTTTTTTTTTTTTTTTTTTTTATATTTTAATATACCTATGGGTGAAAACTGTTAACACTTATTTTTTTTAATTATAAGTAAAATCGATATTCACAAGATTGCATCAAATAATGCTTTTTTCCTAAAGTACATACATTTGATGGTTGACTCTATCTTTTACAGATTTGTTCACACTGTTTTACGGAACCTCATTTCTATTTTCCTTTATCGAAAGACATGTTATTTCGTCACCATTTTTTAAAACATAAAATAGAATATTTTTTCCTGTTGTGTGTTATGTGTGCACATGTCTTTACATTTGTGCAGTAGCACTAGTAACACGTACCATATGCACACATATTTATTAATTCTTTTTCCATTTAATGCACATCATATAAGTTCTGTCTTATATTTTCTTTTTATTTAAACAACGTCATCATAGATGTTTTATTCTAATTACAACAACAAATAATACCAGTTTGAGAATTAATACAAAAAAAGAGTTGTCGTTGGGCATGTAAAATTTTTATACGTTTTAAACCACAAACCTAATTAAACCATTAAGCCCAGGTTTCCAGTAAAATGTCATTCTCAAAAGGCAAAATTTGCCAACCTTTTAATCTGCTTCCCAGGAAATAAACAAACCACTAATTGTCAGATGTGCTGAGGAAAACGCACGTATATTTTGTCCCCGGACATACAGAAAAAGAAAAGAGAGAAACAACAATACCAGATCATGAAAAGAAAAAAATGAAATAGAAGAAAGCTGAACAAAATAGAACCCCAAAAAAAATATATATATACAACAACAAAAAAAATTGGAGAATACAGAAAATAATTAAGAACTTGCAAAAAATTGCAAGAATATAACATATAAGGCCAAAACAGAACAACTTAGTAAATGCCGGAACCTAGAACATAAATGAATTGAACATAAATTAGGCATGGGTAATAACAAATGAATAAAAAGCATAATTTTATAAAAAAGTATTAATACTATTTACATATTTAAATTAAAATATAAACAACAAAAAGTGGGATAAATATAAAAAATAACATAACAACAGGGGAAAATTACTTACATATTATTAAATAACGCGTTGTTCATTCTTTCCTATTGTATTGTAAATGAAATGTTTCAATATTTAGGAAATGCGCGTTACATTACCTTTATTATATACTGTTTTATATATTCATTTCAGATATTCTTAAAATTGTTATTTTTATTTTATATTATACTTATTCACATTATTTCTCAGCGATACATATCTACAACTATAATAAGTGGTGTATAAAAGTCGTACGGAAAAAAAAATTATGAAAACTGGGAAAACGATTCTGTGTCCCGTGAAAATACTATACACGAATGTACATAAAAATTAAATATTAATATTCCTAAACCATAAAATAAAAAAAAAAAAAAAGAGACTATTAAGAAAAAAGAATAAAAATTTGATCCGTTGTTATAAAAAAGTGCTCTTATAAATTTTCATATACATATGTGCTTTTTTTCTTATTTTGTTTTTTAACAATTGCCCAGATTTGTATTATTTTCCTCTTAATTTGCTCTTTTTTTTTTTTTTTTAACAAAAAATGGTACTTTGTTAAAATAGGGAAAAATAAATAAATTAAAAATTAGAAAAAACAAATTGTGAAGGATACAAAAAATATAAGTGCGCTCGGTTTATAGAAATAAATCTAGCACTTTATATATGCTCATGTATGTTGTGATGTTGTATCTGCTAAAGTAGTTTTGTCTTCGTAACGAAAAAAATGTGAGCGTAGGAAAGTGTTATATAATAATACTATTAGATATGTATATTCCATTATATAAAACAAACCAGCGCTCTTTTATAGTTTTTAAAATATAAAAGATTGAAGTGTATTAATAATATTATGTGTGCAGTTACAACACATATTATTTAGAGTTAATGTACTTTGTCCTTTTTGTCCCTTCCTACGTCTTTCCCTATAATTTGTGCTAAGTTTTCTTCTTCATTCACAATGATTATTAAAATCAGGAGAATGTATATATATATAAAACAAAGTACATCATACAATAAACATGATTATAATGTGTAGTTCATTTTTCGTTAATTTACAAAATACATATATTTCTTATTATATATAGAATATATGTGTTACACATGAAAAAACTGAACGAAATAAAGGAGTAATATGAAGCTATCTACGGCAGGAAGGTTACCCTCTTGTTCAAGTATAACAAAAAAAAATGAGGATTATGTATCACCAAATAGTGGAAGAAAAGCATTTTCATCATGTGTATACGTTATCTTGTTCCTCTTGACCTATGTGATTCTTCCCTTGTCCAAATGTTCTGAAGTAAGATAGAAAAATTATGAGCACACTACACACGAATTATATGCGGAATTTGGCCACATTACGTTATGTGCCTATTCCTACAAGTATACATATACGTTACACACATATGTACGTACGTTATGCTGTAACTTGCTGCAATAATGGAACCACACCCCCTCCAATTTCTTTTCACTTCGCTCTTACTACCCTCTTCAGTTTTTTCGTGATAATGGAGCGAACCATGACTCCCATGATGAGTTCAAATTGGAGGAGTCCAAGCATGAATCCTCCTCCCTCACGAAAATACCCAAATATGGAGATAATGGTGCATGGCTTCTTTTTGTAAAACATTTCGAAGAAGATTGGCAAGATTTCAATAAGGACTTGACAATCAAAAGGGATCACTGGTTTGAAGAAAAAAATGTCGAATCAGAAAAATTGACAAAGTCCATGGAAGATGAAAAGAATAAATGGTTCAAAGCAAAAGACAGAGAAGTGCAAATTTTGAAAAAAGCTTTAGAATACAAATTCGCCAGTATTGATCCTAGTCTGCGTAAACCACGTAAATGCTCTATGTCTGCGAAACCTCCAATAGAACCAATTGAGCCGAAAGAAGCTGATGATTATGTTCATAATAAAAATGAGGCCAAAGACACCAAAGCTGTAGAATGCGCGAAAAATAAAGAGATAAATAAGTATCCAGCAGAATTTAATAAGAAAGCACAAAAAACCTGTACACCGCAACAAAGAAATTGTGTAAAATATAAACTTCAGGAAAAAGGCGAAGTCATCCCAAATGAAGAAATGCAAAGACCCAAAACAGAAAACCCCGAAATGACAAAAGGTCCAATGGAAAAACCTGAAATGACGAAAGCTCCAATGGAAAAACCTGAAATGACGAAAGCTCCAATGGAAAAACCTGAAATGACGAAAGCTCCAATGAGAAAAGTTCCAGTAAAAAGGGAAGAAATGCAACCTGAAGAACTACATTCGGAAGACATCTGCACCGAAGAAGTACCCCCAAAAGCAATCATGCAACAAAAACAGTTACATCCAGAGGAAGTACCCGCAGAACAAGTCTATCAAGAGGGAGACCACCAAGGGGAAATGGACCCAGCAGAAATACAACAGTCTGAAAGTATGCACCAGCAACAAAATATTGGGCAAAGTGGTCAAGCAGCTTATTTTCCCAATAAAACACCATTTGTAAATGTAAAATACCAAAGTCCTCAAACTCCTCCTCAATATCAAACTGAAATCCCTGAACACAAGGAATGTGTTGCTCATAAATATGAAAAAGATAAAGTCGAAGATTCGAAAAAAACAATGCCAAGTAAAACGTTAAAGGATAAAAACACAATTACTAAACCCGTTGGCATTGGACTTTCTAAAAAATCAACGAAAGACGAAGAAGAATCCAAAGTGTTAGATGGCAGAGATAAAATGTTTAAACAATGGGATAAAGTCGTAGAATATAAACTTACTACAGCGAAAGGTGACGAAAGTAAAGAGGAAAATTTAGAAATGTTGAGAAAAACACAACAAATGCAAGATCCAAGTAAAGGAAGAGTACCTTCAAATATAAGTAAAAAATTGTGTGAACGCAAAAAAAAATTGAACCAAAAGGTAGAAGAACAACCGCAACCACAATCGAAACCACAACCGCAACCACAATCGAAACCACAACCGCAACCACAAGCGAAACCACAATCGAAACCACAACCGAAACCACAATCGAAACCACAAGCGAAACCACCATGTATGCAAATGCAAAAGGAAGTTAGAAAACCCAAGTACAAAGTTCCCGTCGTAACTGCTGAACATAATAGAGCTTATAATGCACAGCAGCAGAAGCTAAAGAAAACAGGTCAGGCGGATGTTGCTGTGAAGGGACAACCAAAGAAACATAAGTTTACACCCTCCAGCCAGAAAGTTCCGCGTAAATCATTTAAATTAGAGGGTGAAAAAATTAACACAGTTCCTCAGGGCGTACAACAGAAATGCGTTATTCCAAAAGCTCCCGTAAAGTTGCAACCAAGCACAGAGGAACAAGAATTGGGAAGTCATTCAATTGTAATAGAGGAAATGATAGAAACCGAATCGGTTACGAGTGATGAAACAGTGGAAACCGAATCAGTACTAAGTGCAGGGGAAGTAACAGAAACCAAATATGTAGTAGGAGGTAAAAAAACGAGAATCCCAAGATTTGTATATTCTGTAAAAGCTAAGAAAGATGAAGTAAAATTAGAAAACGAATCAGTACTAATTGAAGAACTAACCCGAACAAAATCTGTCGTAGGACGTGAAAAACCCAGAATTCCAACATTTGTATATTCTGTAAAAGCTAAGAAAGATGAAGAAAACCTGGAAACTGAATCAGTACTAAGTGCAGGAGAAGCAACCGGAACAAAATGTGTAGTAGCAGGTGAAAAACCTAGAATTCCAACATTTGTGTATTCTGTAAAAGCTAAGAACGATGCTCAAGCTGCTATAGATACGAAATCAACTACTTCTAAACTAACCGGCAACGATAAAACGAGGAAAGAGGAATCTAATAAAACTGAAACCACACCTTTAGAAAAGGAATTGCATACAACGGAAACATCACCTTTAGAAAAGGAATTGCATACAACGGAAACATCACCTTTAGA